TCCTTTTCGAGGGCGCCACTTTTTCTTTTTTTTCTCTCCAAGGAGAAGCACCAGGAAAACCTGTTGCGCCAGGGTCATTTTGGGGTCCACTCCGATTCCAAGGACCAGCAACCCATCACCCATAGCCATTGCTTGCATCCGGAAGGCCTGGCGGGGCGCATCCTCCCGGAAGGCCTGCGCCGAATGGTTTGGTGGGTGTCTTAAAGGATATGGATCCAACATCCAAAGGTTGCTGCAGCGACCCCTCTGCAAAAAGTCTTCCACTTTTTGTGGGTTCAACTCGGAAAACCAATTTGATGTTCCGAAACGCTAAAGTCTAAAGATACAACCCAAAAAGAAAGAAAGCAAAACCAGTCGAAAAGGGATTCACCAAACAAACACGCCCACGGACAGACACCTCCTAACTGGGGTCTGGGCTGATCACTCAATTTGCAACCAAACACAGGCGGGCAGGTCACACATCACCTTTCGGGTCCAAGTTTCAATGAAGCTGAATTTTGGAATGGACAGGCTTTCAGGGGTTTAGCCGCCCAAATGACGGTTTGCGGCCAAGTGTTAAAGAGAAGTCGCATGCCGCTTCTCCAGTCGCAGGCCGCTTCTCCAAATCTCTGGTCGTCGCTTAAAGGAAGGCCGGCCACTCTGATGGCTTTCTTCGGGGCATTGCAAGGGACGAACTTTCAGAGCGCTGCCTTCGGCTTGGTGCGGTCTTCTGAAAGGGCCCGGAAGGTGCAAAACCACTTTGGGGGTTGTCTCAATATGGGGAGCTCCTCAGAATGGGCGCAAAGCACACACCCAAAAAGGATTAGTTTCCTCGACGTCATCAGGGTTTGAATCAGGCAAGAGAATCAAAGCACCTGGTTGGGACTCGGGCGACCATCAATGACGCGTAGTTCTGCCTAGATCTGATTTTCAAACACCGAATCCAAACCCTACTTCCAATCATCCAAGGGCCCCCAAAAAAAAATGTAAATACCCTCATCCAAAAAGACTCACCCCTTGGAGACTTTAAACAAAAAAAGCAAAGCGAGGGGCCTGGGCGGCCCAAGCGCACAGACCGAGGGCCTGGACGGGTCGGATCCGATCCGCGCCTCATGGCCCTTGCTCCAGTCATAGGACACCTCTCGAGCGGACGGGACCCAATCAGAAACTTCGCTGGGCAGCTGTGGGCCTGTTGGTGGCCGTTTGGCGAAAGAAAACGATGGGATTCCCTGGTACATGGAACACAACCGGGGCTATGTTTAACCAGACGAAGCGACACATAGATGCGCGTCGACTCGTGGTCCTTTAAAAGGTCCTTTCGGTGCAGCTCACCCCTCGGTCAGCTTTTGGTTACAAAGGGGAAACCCAAAGGACCAAAAACCTCGAGCTTTAGCTCGAGCTTTGGAGAAGTGAGGCGAAGTGAGGCGAAAAGAATACGCAGCCACAACGCAAACAAAAAAAGAAAACACATGTTGCTTGTTTGGGTCGGATATTCCAATCGCCTGTGGCAATTTCAAACACCATGTTTCCCTCGGTGCAACACGGCAAGGGACAAGGAGTGATTGCACACAGCTCAGAAGCCAGGGGCAGTGCCCCCGCCAACAAATGGAAGGAGGGCACCACTGGGTGTCTGGGCTAGCATCAGTCGCTCGACCTACACAGGATCACCAAGAACGGATCCGCGCTTGTAGCTGAGGGGGCTGCTGCTTCCAAGACAGAGTGCGCAGACACATAGATAAATAGACACACAAATGCACAGGCACTTAAGCACACAAATACACAGGCACACACACACAAATGCACGAACGCACGCACACGCATTCATAACGGTGGATGCGCGCACACAGGCACCATAGACACAAGCAGCAAAGCTTGCATCCCATATCTATGTCCCTACAGGTCAGTTCAATTTGCCATGCTTTTTTGGGAGGCAAACAATCCAAAGTGCACCACAAAAGCATACAAAGGAACAAAGGATTGGGGTGCCTGTCGGCCTGAATACGCTTTATTGACATGGAACTGTCACTCGTAGAGGAATCTCCACGTTATTTGCCAGGGAGGAGCCACGGATTCTTAAGAATCCTTTTCAAGGGCTGAGTTTGCGGTAGGACGAGGATTCATGGGGCTCTCATCCGAAATTCATGATAAGGGATGCATGACTATCACCCGGGTATATTGACCACGGCACATATAGTGGCAATAGGTTGGGGGCCCATGATCATCCCCACCCCCTCCCTTTATCTAGCCACCATTTGTTTGTTTGCTTGTTCGCTTGCTTGATGGCTTGCTTGCTGGCTTGCTTGCTTGTTTGTTTGCTTGCTGGCTTGCTTGATTGTTTTGCTTGTTTGTTTGCTTGCTTGCTTGCTTGCTTGTTTTGCTTGTTTGTTTGCTTGTTTGTTGTTTGTTTGTTTCTTTGTTTGTTGGTTGGTTGGTTTGTTGGTTTGTTTTTGGCCTGCGCTTTTCGTCTTTGCCCGTCGGCCCGTTTTTTTTTTTGCTTTTTGCAGGCATGCGCCCTCGAGAAAAAAAAGGTGCCTTTCGCTCAGGACGTGCAGCTCCAAACACCACACCCAGCACCCCAAGCACCGCGGTTTGGACAGCTTGGGGCTTTGGACATGGCTGTGGGTCAAGAATAGGTACCCAAAATGGCTTGCCCTGGCAAATGGAAACATGGACTACAACCTGTAGTCCCCTGTTGGCTTAATTTTGACCCATACCCACATGGGGAAAACCATTGGGTAAATGCTGGTCTAGAGTCTAGGTGGACATAGGCTTTGGACATGGGCTTTGGGGTTTAGACAGTTTGGGATCTTGCTGGTCTAGATTCATTTGTATTCCAGGGTCGAGATACGAATGCTGCCTTTTGTCACTTTGGTCTGCACATTCACGCTCAAAAGTATCTAGGAACAGGCACCTTAAGCATTTTGCACTTCCGATTTTCATTGCAATCACCAAACACGATAATTGCATAGTGGAAGACATAAGACATAGCTGTGTCTTTGCTTTCAGGGTGCCTAGCTTGCCCTCCAAAACGAAGAAAAAAACAAGGCCACTTGACGCGCGCGAATCCCGCTGAGCCGAATCGGCAAAAAATTGTTTCCCGCGCCGCGTAGGCGAAGAGGTAACCTGAGGAATTGAACTTCCCCGCCGTCAGGGAGACTTTACCTGGGTCAAATGGGAACATGGGGTAGGGCGGGGTGGTGGCGTGGGGTGGGGGGTGGGGGGTGGTGGGGTGTGTGGTAGGTGGGGCTTGATCAACTGTTCATGTACATGGGACCATTAGGGAAACCGCCCAAAAACAATCCTCACTAAATGGGAGAAGTGACCCTCTTTTCAATCATTGAAGTGGTCAAGGGGCCAAAACCCGTAACTGTCCTCCAAAGCACTCCGATCAGCTTCCATGATTGGAGGAGGGAGGGTACGTGGGTTGGTCCCTTGGAGGCTTTCAAGGAAGCGCCACCTGGTTTTTGCCAGAAAAAAGGCACAGCCATCAAGGGAGGACCCTTTTTTGGTTTTCAGATGCTCCTTTCCTATCGCTTCCCGCTAAACGGAAATTGATCTCCCAGGTACCCTCCGGGTGCCTTCGTTGCAACAAGGACTCTCTACGTGCTGGGATCCACCTTTAGAAAATCAAAAGGAAACCTCCTCCTTAGCTTAAAGACTAGCCTGGACCCGTAAAGCAAGTTTCCCGTGCATGATCAACATAGGCCTGGTTGCCGCTGGAAGAACACTTCCGGCCCAAGAATAGAAGGACACCCTTTTCGTTGCATGTGGCTTTGTCCCAAAAAATAGGGGAATCCCCCAGAATGGTTTCATTTTAAAGTTCTAAAGCCAACCAGAAAACGGGTTACTACCCCCCCCCCAAAAAAAAAAAAAACAAAAAAAAAAAAAGAAAGTAGGACAGACCCATGTTCCGAACGTTGCGTATTCGACAATCCGAAATGCCGAAACCGGTGCGGATTGGTTCCGGTGCCAGGTGCCACCTGGGAAAGGGGAGAGAGTTTGCAACCAGGCCATGCGGCAGCTCACAACGTCAGCCCCCCCTCAAAAAAGTTGCCTTGGATTGGATTGGGAGCTTCTGAAATCTCACAAATGTACCCCACTTTAATTGGGGACTTTCGTAGGCCACCAATGCAACTAAGGGGTACCTGACCAAATCGTCCACCCGGCCGGGCGCCGCGCTGGGTTCAAAGCGCTTCAGCAGCTTCCTGTCGGCCTGCGATCTGAAAAAGCAGTTGGGCTGGTGCTGGCACTTGGCAACTTGGCTGTCAGGTGAAAAAGGGGCCGAGAAACCTCAACAGGGGGTCCAGGTAAACCTTTCCCGCCAAGCATGTGGTGGGAACTCGTGTATCTAAGCTTGGGATTTCGCCTGGCGGTTCATGGGAATTTGATTAGCAACTTAAGTGAGTCTTTTCTTTTTGTTGGGGGGGAGCAACCCTTTTCAGCGGGACTTTCGGATCACTGGGGGAAACAGGGAGAAGTCCGTTTTCGGCTTTGACCAAAAATATCCGGGGGCCACCGATTTTTTGTTGTGAATCCCAGGGTGCGGATTTGATGATCGCCAATCGCCAGGAAATGTTCTTTGACATCAAGCGGGCGCTTGACGCGCGGAGGCACGCCGTAGCCGCCCAGGCATCCATTTGATGCCGTGTAAAACGGTTCTGGCCAAAGTCTCGCAGCTTCCACCCAAGCAAATCCGACAGAATGGCCGCCAAGCTGAAATTGTCCTCCTTCAGCGGCTGGTTCCAACTTTCCACATTTCCGTGTCCAGTCCAGCCGCGCCCAGCGCCGACCACCGAATCGCGTGTTCTGCGACCAGAGCTCCTGGTAGACCCGGTCAGACCACATGCTCCTCTAGCGGGGTGTGTCGGGGGTATGCTTCGCCAACATCGAGCTTCCTGCCCTTGCAAACCCCAGGCCAAACAAATCCTGGGTCTTCCAGGAATAGGGGTGTCCGATTTTTTGAGTAGGGGAACCCTCCCCCAAAAAAGGGGTTAAAAAGGGCACTAATGGGGGACCTAGAATCTCACTTGCCCAAAGTACATGCACATGAAAGGTTCACCTTTTGGGGCCATGACTAAAAATGGACAAGGGGAAACTAAAAGGTCGACAGGTCAGCTTCGGGCAACTGAGAAATACAAACCCATGCAAAGAGTGAGACGCAGGAACATGCCATGCCGGCCCCCCTTTTCCGGGAAGCGTTGTGTGTGACGCTGGATCCAAGACAGAGCCAACGGGCACACACTTCATCCGCAGAACAGGTCTCCCTATATTTCCCTTGAAACATCACCCCCAACCAAGGCATGGCCCAAAGAGGTGATTTTTTAAACCACCAAACATGGAAATATGAGGACCCCAGCAGAAACGCTGGCCGACCACCAAAGCGGCTGCCCTGAAGCCCGCAACTGGCCATGGATCAAGACAGGGTCTATGACTCGTGCATTTCAACTCTTTCATCCCTTTTCGGTTTTTCCCTGAGGATTACTCTTTGCACACGTTGCTTCTTTTTTTTTGCGCGCATTCTGCAACCACGCCTGGAAAGAAGCAGGGTGTCCAAAGACCGGGTTAGACCAGAAGAATGTCCATGTTTGTCCCCAAGAAAGCTGGAACATCGCCTTTGGACGCGGCATCCAATTTGGCCTTTCAACGGAAAGCCTCTTGAAACCAGTGCTACGGCCAAATCGGCCAAAACTTGATTTCGCTTGAAAGTTTATCCGACTTGGAGATGCAAGCCGCAACAAGCTAGACTCCAAGTAGACGTGGTCTCCCGCGCCATCCAGATCGGAGTTTCCCGACACTTCTCGGGTGCTGAGGATGCCCCAGCACATGTTCTTAAACTTTTTGCTGGTTAAAAGGAAATATGAGGGGAATCCAAAAAAAACAAGTCTAAAGATCCAACCCAATAGCAGTAAGGACTTTGCAACCTTGTTTTGTGCTTTTTCCAGATTTTTGAGCGAGACGTACTGATTGAAAGTCACGCCGGACATTGTGAGAAATGGGGAATGAGAACCGGAATGAACCCAGGCTTTCCCCGGGGAAAAAAAATCGGAAACCAGTTGGAGGGTTCCCAGGCTTTCCCCGAAGGGAAACCAGTTGGAGGGTATCTCTCGGGGTTCATTCCAATTCTCATTCACACCGATCGCAAGCCAGCGCTGGAAGTGGAATCCACTTCAGCGGGCCGAACCACAAAGACTCACCTCTGATATGGCTGTGGTTGTCCAAAAAAAGGGTAACCCCAAAATGGAACGTGAAAACATGGACTGACACCTGCGGTTTTGTGGTTTAATTTTGACCCGTACCCAAAGAGGGGATTCCCAAAAGTAGAGTTGGAGAACAAGTCAACCGCAAGCCACATGGCCAACTTCGAGCCCGCTGGGTTGCTCGGTTCCGGTGCGGCTCGAGCAAACCTTTCTGCCTTGGGTTGGCTTGTTTCCAGAGGTGCCTCCTCTGGCGACAGAAAATGACACAAAGAGCCATGAGTTTAGGGGTCAGGGTTTATGGTTTAGGGTTGATGGTCTTGGTTCATGTGACCCTTTCTTGAAAACTAGATTGGCTTCCCCGAGAATTAAGTTGGCATAACACCCATCTAAACCAGTGGAACCCATCTATGTCTCACCAAACTAACCTAAAAAGGACGCCTATGCCTGAGTTCATCACCTTGTCAACACAAGTGATTCTATGCATCTTCCCAGCCACAAAACCTGACGAGAAAAACTGGCCATGGCGAATTGAGTGGCCTGCTTCCCAGCTGGGGGCCAGGGAAATATGGCGACTTGGCACATGTTTCAGTGGCTCCCAGCAAAATGAGCCGTTTCTTCAAACAGCGAAAGGCTTAAATGAAACGAGGCTAAATAAGACGCGTTGCCTGGACTATTTTGCGCATTTGGTTTGCCCGACTTGGCAAGCAGAGAATATGGAAGGGTCTAGCTGAAATTAACACAGGTGTCGTAAACTGGTTCTCTCTCGAGAAGAGAAATCCAATCGTCTGCTTCGTAAGGTTGATGCCCATCTGTGACGGAACACTTGGCCAGAAAAAGCTGGTTAAAGGGATTCCGAAGCAAACCTTTCGAGCAAGACAACCAAGTTACAACCGGGGTGAAGTTTTCTGCTGGTACTATTGCCCTTCGCTTCTGCAAGAGGATGATAAAAGGAGGTTGTGCCATCTGCTTTCGAGAGGGGGTTGTAACCACGACAAAAACGCGATTTTGTTACCATGACAAGGTGCAATGTTACCACGGCAGAAAAAAAGCGTTACAGCGACATGTTTCTTGCGGGCTTATCCCGACAAGCAGGGAAATAGAAAGGAATAAGAAGGCATGAGAAGGTCAATAAGAAGGAATAAGAAGGAATAAGAAGGTCAATAGAAAGGAATAAGAAGGAATAAGAATGTGAATAGAAAGGAATAAGAAGGAATAAGAAGGTGAATAGAAAGGAATAAGAAGGAATAAGAAGGTCAATAGAAAGGAATAAGAAGGAATAAGAAGGTCAATAGAAAGGAATAAGAAGGAATAAGAAGGTCAATAGAAAGGAATAAGAAGGAATAAGAAGGTCAATAGAAAGGAATAAGAAGGTCAGAAAGGAATAAGAAGGAATAAGAAGGTCAATAGAAAGGAATAAGAAGGAATAAGAAGGTCAATAGAAAGGAATAAGAAGGAATAAGAAGGTGAAAGGAATAAGAAGGAATAAGAACAATAGAAAGGAATAAGAAGGAATAAGAAGTCAATAGAAAGGAATAAGAAGGAATAAGAAGGTCAGTAGAAAGGAATAAGAAGGAATAAGAAGGTCAATAGAAATGAATAAGAATGAATAAGAATGTGAATAGAAAAGAATAAGAAGCAATAGGAAGGTCAATAGAAAGGAATAAGAAGGAATAAAAAAGCCAATAAGAAGGAATAAGAAGGAATAAGAAGGTCAATAGAAAGGAATAAGAAGGTCAATAGAAAGGAATAAGAAGGAATAAGAAGGTCAATAGAAAGGAATAAGAAGGAATACGAAGGTGATTAGAAAGGAATAAGAAGGAATAAGAAGGTCAATAGAAAGGAATAAGAAGGAATAAGAAGGCCTAAGAAGGTCAATAGCAAGGAATAAGAAGGCCAATAGAAATGAATAAGAAGGAATAAGAATGTGAATAGAAAGGAATAAGAAGGAATAAGAAGGCCAATAGAAAGGAATAAGAAGGAATAAGAAGGTCAATGGAAAGGAATAAGAATGAATAAGAAGGTAAATAGGAAGGAATAAGAAGGAATAAGAATGTCAATAGAAATGAATAAGAATGAATAAGAATGTGAATAGAAAAGAATAAGAAGCAATAGGAAGGTCAATAGAAAGGAATAAGAAGGAATAAAAAAGCCAATAAGAAGGAATAAGAAGGAATAAGAAGGTCAATAGAAAGGAATAAGAAGGAATAAGAATGTCAATAAAAATGAATAAGAATGAATAAGAATGTGAATAGAAAAGAATAAGAAGGAATAAGAAGGTCAATAAGAAGGAATAAGAAGGAATAAGAAGGTCAATAGAAAGGAATAAGAAGGAATAAGAAGGTCAATAGAAAGGAATAAGAAGGAATAAGAATGTAAATAGGAAGGAATAAGAAGGAATAAGAAGGTCAATAGAAAGGAATAAGAAGGAATAAGAAGGTCAATAGAAAGGAATAAGAAGGAATAAGAAGGTCAATAGAAAGGAAAAAGAAGGAATAAGAAGGTCAATAGGAAGGAATAAGAAGGAATAAGAATGTCAATAGAAAGGAATACGAAGGAATAAGAAGGTCAATAGAAAGGAATAAGAAGGAATAAGAATGTCAATAGAACGGAATAAGAAGGAATAAGAAGGTTAATAGAAAGGAATAAGAAGGAATAAGAATGTGAATAGAAAGGAATAAGAAGGAATAAGAAGGTGAATAGAAAGGAATAAGAAGGAATAAGAAGGTCAATAGAACGGAATAAGAAGGAATAAGAAGGTCAATAGAAAGGAATAAGAAGGAATAAGAAGGTGATTAGAAAGAAATAAGAAGGAATAAGAAGGTCAATAGAAAGGAATAAGAAGGAATAAGAAGGTCAATAGAAAGGAATAAGAAGGAATAAGAAGGTCAATAGAACGGAATAAGAAGGAATAAGAAGGTCAATAGAAAGGAATAAGAAGGAATAAGAAGGTGATTAGAAAGGAATAAGAAGGAATAAGAATGTGATTAGAAAGGAATACGAAGGAATAAGAAGGTCAATAGAAAGGAATAAGAAGGAATAAGAATATGATTAGAAAGGAATAAGAAAGAATAAGAAGGTCAATAGAAAGGAATAAGAAGGAATAAGAAGGTAAATAGGAAGGAAGAAGAAGGAATAAGAAGGTGATTAGAAAGGAATAAGAAGGAATAAGAAGGTCAATAGAAAGGAATAAGAAGGAATAAGAAGGTCAGTAGAAAGGAATGAGAAGGAATAAGAAGGTCAATAGAAAGGAATAAGAAGGAATAAGAAGGTCAATAGAAAAGAATAAGAAGGAATAAGAGAAGGAATAAGAAGGTCAATAAAAAGGAATAAAAATGAATAAGAATGTGAATAAAAAATAATAAGAAGGAATTCGAAGGTCAATAGAAATGAATAAGAAGGAATAAGAAGGACAATAGAAAGGAATAAGAAGGAATGAGAAGGTCAATAGAAAGGAATAAGAAGGAATAAGAAGGTCAATAGAAAGGAATAAGAAGGAATAAGAAGGTCAATAGAAAGGAATAAGAAGGAATAAGAAGGTGATTAGAAAGGAATAAGAAGGAATAAGAAGGTAAATAGGAAGGAATAAGAAGGAATAAGAAGGTCAATAGAAAGGAATAAGAAGGAATAAGAAGGCCAATAGAAAGGAATAAGAAGGAATAAGAAGGTCAATAGAACGGAATAAGAAGGAATAAGAAGGTCAATAGAAAGGAATAAGAAGGAATAAGAAGGTCAATAGAAAGGAATAAGAAAGTCAATAGAAAGGAATAAGAAGGAATAAGAAGGTCAATAGAACGGAATAAGAAGGAATAAGAAGGTCAATAGAAAGGAATAAGAAGGAATAAGAAGGTGATTAGAAAGGAATAAGAAGGAATAACAAGGTCAATAGAAAGGAATAAGAAGGAATAAGAAGGTAAATAGGAAGGAATAAGAAGGTCAATAGAAAGGAATAAGAATGAAGAAGAATGTGAAATGAAAGGAATAAGAAGGAATAAGAAGGTCAATAAGAAGGAATAAGAAGGAATAAGAAGGTGATTAGAAAGGAATAAGAAGGAATAAGAAGGTCAATAGAAAGGAATAAGAAGGAATAAGAAGCTCAATAGAACGGAATAAGAAGGAATAAGAAGGTCAATAGAAAGGAATAAGAAGGTAAATAGGAAGGAGTAAGAAGGAATAAGAAGGTCAATAGAAAGGAATAAGAACGCCAATAGAAAGGAATAAGAATAAGAAGGAATGAGAAGGAATTAGATGGCCATGTGACTCCGATGGTCGGCTCAGCTGGATTATAGAGGGTTGGCATGTTGTTGATACCGGCAAGTGACGTATGATATTGAAGCGGGTAATATGAGCCCTGAAACTCACTCAGCAAGTTTCAGTTTTCAGTTCCCTTTGCCAAAGCCACGAATATGAGGTGCCTTTGTGAATTCAAGCCCAGCCTTTGCGCATGTGCCCCAATTCGCCATGCGGCGGGGAGCGGCGGTACTAGCGCTGCTGGCGCTGGCGCTGGTGCTGGGCGGGCCAAGTGTTGTGCTATTGGATGAGGCGCCAAAAGGGGTGCCTTTTTTTAATGAAGAAGAATGTATGAATTGCTGAAGGAACTGGGGAGGTTCTTTGACAGAAATGACAAGTGCTGAGCAGATAGGTTTTCCTGTTTTGCTCTACTTGCTGTCTACCCCCCAACTGTAAGGCCTTGTTTGGCATTGGGGTCTTTGAGTGTGGGTGGCACACTTCCTGAACGAGGTTCAAAAAAAGGGGAATCAACCCCCGGAGCTAGAAATACGTCTCATCCTTTTAGTGTAAAAAACATAGTCTTCCCAGACACCGAAGGGATACCAAAAGGAGATGTTCTAACCAAATGCGACTGACACGTGTTGAATAACTAGGGTTGGCCCCTTGGGACACGCAGCCACTATACAGCCATTGCGCAAAAGCTACTGACTCCCCTAAAAGGTGAGTAGCAATAGTAGTAGTAGTAGTAGTAGTAGTAGTAATAGTAGTAATAGTAATAGTAGTAATAGCCTTGTCGGGATAAGTAATAGTAGTAGTAGTAGTAATAGTAGTAGTAGTAATAGTAGTAGTAGTAGTAGTAGTAGTAATAGTAGTAATAGTAGTAGTAGTAGTAGTAATAGTAGTAATGATAGTAGTAGTAGTAGTAATAATAGTAATAGTAGTAGTAGTAGTAGTAGTAGTAATAGTAGTAATAGTAGTAGTAGTAGTAATAGTAGTAATAGTAGTAAGAATAGTAGTAGTAGTAATTGTAGTAGTAGTAATGGTAGTAATAGTAGTAGTAGTAGTAATAGTAGTAATAGTAGTAATAGTAGTAGTAGTAGTAGTAATAGTAGTAATAGTAGTAGTAGTAGTAGTAATAGTAGTAATAGTAGTAGTAGTCGTAGTAGTAGTAGTAGTAATAGTAGTAATAGTAATAGTAATAGTAGTAGTAGTAATAGTAGTAGTACTAATAGTAGTAATAGTAGTAGTAGTAGTAGTAATAGTAGTAGTAGTAGTAATAGTAGTAATAGTAATAGTAGTAGTAGTAATAATAGTAATAGTAGTAGTAGTAGTAGTAATAATAGTAATAGTAGTAGTAATAGTAGTAATACTAATAGTAGTAGTAGTAGTAGTAGTAATAGTAGTAATAGTAATAGTAGTAATAGCCTTGTCGGGATAAGTAATAGTAGTAGTAATAGTAATAGTAGTAGTAGTAATAGTAGTAGTAGTAGTAATAATAGTAATAGTAGTAGTAGTAGTAATAGTAGGTAGTAATAGTAATAGTAGTAATAGCCTTGTCGGGATAAGTAATAGTAGTAGTAGTAGTAATAGTAGTAGTAGTAGTAATAGTAGTAGTAGTAATAGTAGTAATACTAGTAGTAGTAGTAATAGTAGTAATAGTAGTAGTAGTAATAGTAGTAATAGTAGTAGTAGTAGTAGTAGTAGTAATAGTAGTAATAGTAGTAGTAGTAATAGTAGTAATAGTAGTAATAGTAGTAGTAGTAGTAATTGTAATAATAGTAGTAATAGTAGTAATAATAGTAATAGTAGTAATAGTAGTAGTAATAGTAATAATAGTAATAGTAGTAGTAGTAGTAATAATAGTAATAGTAGTAATAGTAGTAGTAGTAGTAATAGTAGTAATAGTAGTAGTAGTAGTAATAGCAGTAATAGTAGTAGTAGTAATAGTAGTAGTAGTAATAATAGTAATAGTAGTAGTAGTAGTAGTAATAGTAGTAATAGTAGTAGTAATAGTAGTAGTAGTAATAGTAGTAATAGTAATAGTAGTAGTAGTAGTAGTAGTAGTATAGTAGTAATAGTAATAGTAATAGTAGTAGTAGTAGTAGTAGTAGTATAGTAGTAGTAGTAGTAGTAGTATAGTAGTAATAGTAATAGTAGTAGTAGTAGTAGTAGTAATAGTAGTAATAGTAATAGTAATAGTAGTAGAATAGTAGTAATAGTAATAGTAATAATAGTAGTAGTAGTAATAGTAGTAATAGTAGTAATAGTAGTAGTAGTGATAGTAGTAGTAGTGATAGTAGTAGTAGTAATAGTAGTAGTAGTAGTAGTAATAGTAGTAGTAGTAATAGTAGTAATAGTAGTAGTAGTGAATAGTAGTAGTAGTAATAGTAGTAATAGTAGTAGTAGTAATAGTAGTAATAGTAGTAGTAGTAGTAATAGTAGTAATAGTAGTAGTAGTAGTAATAGCAGTAATAGTAATAGTAGTAGAAGCCTTGTCGGGATAGTCTTCACTGAAACTTGTCGGTGTAACAAGATTCTTTGTCGTTGTAACAATGACCTTTGTCGTTGTAACATGTTCTTTGTCGTGGTTACAACCCTCTCTAATCTGCTTTCACTCAACTCACTCACAACACCGGGCTGTCAGATCCCCCGCTAAAAGTGGGTAACTTTTTGTGGGTTAAGTGAACTATAGACACCCAACCCAAAAAACCAAGCAAAAAGAACTGCACACCTAAGCTGAACCGGAGGTTTCGCTGGGAACCACCAAGAGCAGTTTCCAACCTGCGCCGTATCCTCGCCTTCTGCCAGAAGATGAAGCTCCCATCTCCCCCCGCCGTGGCCAGCAAGGACGGATGCGCCGCGTGTACGTCCAACGCGTTCACCGCACCTCGGATGCTTTGGCCATCCATTTGCTGAGGATCCCCTGGAAAAAAATACAAACACAGCCAGTGGTGATAAATTCCCTGTAAAACCAACAAGGGAACCATAAAATGTTCATTTCAGCACCCGGAAGCCACAAATGTCCAAGAGATTCGCGTGTCTGTATTTCGGGGACCCATCCAAAACGGCTTCGGTTTTGCTTCGGTCTTCCTGGCGATTTCCCCTTCAGCGCCCACCCAGAAAGGCTACCCCCAACAAAAGCACGGCGAGCCGCCCATATGAGTCACAATCAACACCCGGTATTAAAATGCTTGACCCAGAACCATGCAAGGAAATACAAAGGCGGCTGCAACTATTTATGGCTGGGATTGTCCCTTACTAACCTTCATCTACCCCGGTTTTGATTGTGGCTCATACGGGGGTTACCGTATACCCATCAAACTTCCCCAGCTGCTGAGAATCGGGGCCCACTGGGCTTCCAAAGCTGCCCTTTTTGACCCGGGGCTTCCAAAGCCGGATGCCGGAAGTGGATGTTCCATGGGAACAAAAGGAGCGGCGCCCGGTGTTTCTTGGGGTTCCAGGCCTAACCCGAAACCCACCAAATTGTTCCATGGGAAAAACATGGGGCACCCTGTTTTTGTTGAGTTTCAAGGAATTGGAACCCTTACCCCAAAAAAGAGCGAAGACTAGTTTGGTGGGTTGAGTTCGAAAGTTGAGAAGAAAAGAAGCACCTGAGCCACAGAGCTCGTCATGTTGACCCAGGATTCATAAACCTCCAAACACTCAAAGGAGTTGGACACCCCCCCGATCAAAATATCAAAATTGGGGGTTCTGCTTAGTCCGGGGTTAACCGCCAAACCCGGAGTGATCCGCTTGCCCTTCGCTGGACCCAAGGCCTTCGATAAGCGGAGCTGAATGCAGCTGAACGCAGCTGAAACCCGAGGTCTCGGCGGGCGCTGTCGGGAAACTGGTGGCACTTGAAGGTGAAGCTCTTGGAGGAGTCCTGGCGCTGGAGTCTTTTTGATTTTCCCAAATAGCTCCGAAAGCTATAGGGGTTATGCTCTCTGGGGTCTATGCTGCTGTATTTTGTTTGGCTTCAACAAAAAAGACCAGGGGGTTGTTGTTTTTGTTTCCCCAGCTGAAAGCTTTGGGGTCGATGAGCCCAGATAGGCTCCGGGGTCGTCCCGGGCGGCCCTGAGGTAAGGTACGAGGGTTCCACCAGGGTTCCACCGCATGCTGTTGGGGATATCACCTGAGCTTATTTTACTAGCCCCGGCTTTGTACTAGCCCCGGCTCGGCACAAGGCCTCCCTCAAAAAAGAGCTTGGCTGGGGATTGGAGGCCGCATCGCCAGCATTTCCGGTTTCTTGTCAGGGCTGCATATTGGGCATGACTTGATGGCATTTGACAGTTGCTAGGGCTAGCCGGCCGCATCGCCAGCATTACTGGCCTCACTCGCTGTGATTTCAGGGTTGCTCAGGGCTGGTTTGGGTGAGTGTTGGGCTCGGGGCTAGTAAAAAAAAAGGTCCATATGACAAGACCAAGATCCGCAGCAGGCCCATACGCTAGTTTACCGTGGCACCCCAGCAACTCCAAACAAGTACAAGTACTTGGCATCACATCCCAATCCAACCAAAATAGGATCCCATTGGTCTTGACAACCACGGCCTCCTGACACCGCCTAAAAAAAACTAACTCGACCCTGGGCGTGTGGCCACTGGCCGAAAAAAAATATCGGGCGGCAGGCGGTTTTTTGTGCAGCGTGCGCCAAAAGGAGAGAACCCAAACAACGTTACAAGACCAAAAACAATCTTGGAAAAAACCAGTGAAGGCAAAGTGGGGCCGTGTTGCTTGCAACCGACTTTTGGGAGGCACAAAGTAATTACCCGGTGCTTTTCGACGCAAGAACCCAAAGGAAAACCGGCTCGCTCATTTTGAGGGTCCAAAGAAACACGACATGGGTGTTGATTGCCTTATGGTTTCCCTTTTTAATTCCATCCAAGGTACCGAGACTGACAATTGAGACCAACGGCTGCTGTCGCCTTAGGAGAGTCTGGCGAACACCAAAGAGTGGAACCCGAAGAAAACTTGAGTTTGAGCCTAGGTGTCCAAACCACCAGGTAAACCAGGAATCGCCATCAATTGTTCTACCAAAACGACTAAAAAGGACACCTATGAATTTGAGATGGTTGTCCCAGTTCTATGGCCCTGTCGTGTGAGATAAGACCACTAGCGGGCAGCGAGGAGGCAAAGAGATTGCAGCGGCCCAAGTCCGTCCCAGGCATTGAAATGTTCTGGCTGGTGCAGAGTCGGGCGGCCCGTTGTCAGATCCCCCGCGAAAAGTGACTATCTTTTGGCAGGTTAAATGAAAATCCCCCCCCCCTTGCAATGAAATCCCCACTAAACACTAAAAAGCTAAAAGCTAAGGGGATGGCTGGGAACCACTGAGATCAGAGTCCGCAATTCTTGGGCTGGCCTGCGGGATGGTCGGGGGAAGCAGCAAAACACCTCCCTCATGAATGCCGGTCATGTGGGTGCTTCTCAACATGGTGGACCCCTGGTGGTTTCCATAAAGAGGTCACCAATGTTGAGACATCCCCTGCTTTGAGACGGATCGAAGAAAGATATTCAGGACAAAGGGGTGCCGCCAGGCCCGTGGTTGTCATTTCGTTCTTTTTCATCAGGGCCATCGTCCGATGGAGTGCTGAATTTTTGGAAACGATAAATTTACACACTGCAAATCAAACTGTCTTACAATCGGTGGGCCGCTGAAAGGAGGAAACAAGAAACAGCCGCATCCTTCGAGCAATGTCTTTCATGACTGGAAGATTCGATTCGGCATGAATGTCCTGGCGCTCCGGCTTCAACGTTCAAAGGGTTGGAGTGGCCCTGAGATTGAAGGAACAAGCTGAAGCATTTGAAGCCTCAGTAAATCCTTGATTTACTTGCATGTGGCAAGCGCCGTGCCTGGGATTCCCGCTGCAAGTGAATCACCCAACTGCGTTGGTGAACTACATTGATACAGCTCTGTTTACCAGGAAGAAACAATGAAACCAGCATGCCCCGCACTCCAGAACCTCCATCCACGAGCGCGCGCGTTCTCGGCGAAACACGCCATGACCATTCTGAAGCCCTTTGTGAGGCGGCAATTTGACGTAGGGCAAATTCATCGAGTATGTCATGGGGTAAAAGGCAACCCCCACAGTCTTCGAATCCTCTTGCGATGGGCACTACTCCCTCCAGATTCCCCAGAAAACATCTGGAGCCCAACCAGTAGCTGAAAGACCTCAGGTGCTATCAAGGGAAACTTTGGCTGTGAACTCAAAGACATCCACCCCTCAGTGTTTTTGGGGTGAACCTAAGAAATGAAGCCCCTTGAGGAGTCGTCGCTTTGGAGGTTCTCCACCGGGGTGCCCATTTTTGATGAGTTTGATTGAGTTTGCCCCAGGCTTGCTTTCGACCGTGGAACCGCTCTGTAGGAAATACCGACTTACAATCAAACAAGAACCCATCAATCCTAAAGGAAAGCGCGGCACCACATCTGAGCTTAGCACCTGTCCCCATTTGGGTATGGGTCAAAATACAACCACCAGGGGATCGCAGGTTTTAGTCTTTGGTTCCCTTTACCAGAGCAACCCATTTTGGGTACGCATTTTTGACCCATAGCCATTTTGGGCCAATTTCTGACTTGAGGTTGGCCAACAAGTCTAAGCTTCTTCTTTACCACTACAGGTCCACCCCCCAAACAGCGACTCAAGCAACAAACACTTCGAGAGGTAACGAGAAATGAGATGGAATCTTGTTTGGAGCCCCTCAGATAACGCAAAAACACATCAGCCATAGACAAAAAAACCACCCGCCTCCTGCCTCCCCCGATTTTCGATGAGGAAGCCATGCAAGAGCAAACCCGTTTGTTGAACAAACTGAAGGGAACCCAATTAGTTGAAGAACCTCCCCCCCTCGACAAAAACAAGCAAACGAGAACACAAAGCAATAGCAGCCATACAGGGGCTGGCCCCGATCTTTGGACCCCCCCAAAAAAAAGCTCGACATTTTCCGACGTCAAAATGTCTCCTCCAAGTTCTTCACCCAGCACCTGCCCTCGATACCACCAAGCCTTGGAGCAACACGACTCTCTCTAGAGCCCCACTAGGAATCGCTCGCGCGCGGCTCTGCACTGAACTGGGTCCCATGGGTGGTCAGCGCTCTGTAGAGGTTGGGTACGCCAGAGGTTGGGAGAGTTTCGACTTGACATACCTACGCAAAATGCACCCATTGGCAATGGTATGATGGTTTCAGACCTCAAGTCTCCGAACGCTCATTCAGAAGTAGCCAACACTAAAGCACGCCACTTCCCGCCGAGCCAAGCTCCAGGAACCCGTGCCAAGCCAATACAGCATTGATGCTGCGCTAATCAACCTATCGAACAGCAGCACATCAGAAAAAATGACGCAGATCTCAGCTGTCCATGTGTGTTTGTAAATACTGTTCTGCCCGGGGCGATTATTCTCAGAGGTATTGTTGAGGGGCAAGCGATTCTTGACAAGGCGCTTGGTTGCTCTGGCATAGGGTTTCTACTTGATCAGTAATAAACGTATTCCATTAGCTGCCGGGTTGCTATTTCAGTTGGGCACTTGCTTGATTTGCCGTGGCGTTGTTAAACTTGTGCAACCTGCGTGAGTTGGGGCTTTATCTCGCGATCAGTCATTCACGATCCTAACCATCCTAATGCTGGTTGGCTTTGCGAAATACATGCTTCTAATTGTGGTACGAACATAACATGCGCTTAAGTTAGAGCAAGTATGTACATGTGTACCTTTCGCGTCAAACATTCTACTTGAAGAAACAACACAACCCACAACATACAGTATACATACTGTATGACATCTTGACACGTATATTATTATAGCTTGAGCATTAAACATCGCAGCTTTAGACTGGTTAGATTAACTAAGAATTACTAACGAGCTAAACCTTAACTACCTATCTCTCCAACCAGCTCAATCACTTAATAACCCACTAACTAACTAAGTAACTATTACGTAGCCAACTACTTTAATAGAAACTTGATTATTGAGCTAACTAGCGAAGAATCTAGCCACTTATTGAAATAGCAAACCATAAGATTGCCAACTATTTTATCAGCCAAGCTAACTATTAAGGCTATCCGATGACTTCCCGAACCATCTTGGCAAACATCGCATACTTGCCAAATGACTGACTGGGCAACCACTGATAAGCTATTCAAAAAATGCAAAGGCGGCTCAGTGGCTCGCTCATTTCTCTCGTTTACGAGGCGATCGATCTAAACCTTCCTTGGGCAAAGACGTGGGTGCTCAGTTAGCCCAAAACCATCGGACAATGCAAAAAAGAGAGCCTGGTGCCATCTAAATGGGCCTGACAAAGTGCATGATCTTTGATGGACAGGCATCACTGCGAAGATCCGAGCTTCATTTCCCTCCCAACAACAGCTACACAAATAATAATAGTTTTGGACAAATTGCTTCACCCTCGGAATGGCCAACAAGAAATGAATGAAATCGGCCAAGTCTCTAAGAGGCTACCCACTCTCTCACGGACGTGAAGCATTCTGGGCAAATTGAATTAACCTACCAATCATAAGGAGTCCCCAAGCCAACAGCCCCCAACTGCTGCAGATAGGGGGCTTGTCCCATTTCATTGTGTCTGTAAGCAAAACGCCAGGTATCTTTTTTTGTGTGTTTGGATCTGTGTGTGTGTGAAATTGGGGGGGGGGGACCGTGGGTGGCGTAGCACCCCGCAAAACCACCCCTCCCCCCCGCCCACCCCCCCGCCCCCCGCGGGATTTGTGACCTCGAAACTTTTCCCCCGAGCCATTCAGAAGCCCAGCGCCCGGCGCGAAGCCGGACTTGTCCGGGAAGCAACACACCGACCTCCCGGGGGGTTCGGTTCCGCCAACTTGTTTTTTTTCTCCAAAGGCTAGGTCCCTTTGAAGTTTGTTTTGTCTGGTTTTGTCGATTTTAGTAGGGGAACCCTCTCCCAACAAGAAACGGTAAAAGGGCACTACTGGGGGACCTAGAAGGGGTTCCTCCAGAAGATCTGTTGGGTTTTCCGGGGCTTCAACCGCGTGAACCGATATGTTGGGTTGCAGCCCATGTTTCAACGGCTTGAAAAGCGATCCTTTTAAGGTGTGCCATTCATTTTGTGCTTGAGAGAGGGTGCTTGGGAGGACCTTCCATGCCAAGACACAGCCAGATCGGCAAACCAAAGAGCTCTAGGTTGTTAGAGCCACGTGACTGTCGAAGCCTGTCTGATAGAACGCTTTCGGTGAAGCACTCAATGGGGATGGGAACGAGCAACGCGGATGCCAAACACAGTATTTAGACCTCTGACAAGAATCATTGCCGAACTGGGAGTCGTCCGAAGATCAACTGCTTTGGGCAGCTGATCAACATACTCTCAACCGAGCTCATTTGAGCGCCATGAACATGTGAAACCCTGTTTTGGCCAGGTTGGCCCTTTCTTGGTGGGTCCTGAACTCAACAACCAAAAGTAAAAGTGGGATGACATCGACTGAGCAACTGGCTCAAGTGCGGTTCGTTAAACACTACTTTGAGACAAAACAAGCACTGGGTGTCTGGGCCATTATTTTACGATCAAAGTCACTCAAGCGTCAGAATCACGGGAAACTACCAACCGGTTTCTGCCTATAACCCCCAAGCATCCAAATCAGAGCGTGTCACTGTTCGGAGTCTTTTTCTTTGGGGGTGTTTTGATTTTTGTGAAACCAAAACGACAACCACATTCTTATCTGTGTTTTTGCTTAAACAACAAAACAACAGGGGGTCGTTGTTTTTTTTTTGGGGGGGGAACCAAACACATTCCGAGGTCAATCCTGGAACTCCGATCCGCCAGCGCATCAGCGTTCCCCGCGCCTCGTCTGCATCTTCAGGCCGCTGAAGGTGGAAGAGGTCGGCGCAAGCTCAGACCTGACGGCTCGGATTTATCCGACTTTCCGATCGAGCCATCGGATTGGCCCAGGCTCCATATCCGACTTCCGATGAGAAAGGATTGGCCCAAAACAAAGCTGAGCTTGGGAAACAAACATCCCAGTCACATGATCTATAGTCCAACAAGGAGTGAGCTTTGGCTGAAGCAAAAGAAAACGGAAGCCCATTTTCTGTGGGGGTTGCATTGCACCCTGAAAACTACTATTAGGGTTCGTTACCAGTTATAAGTCATGGTTGCAGCAGTTGATTCAGTTGGTCACCAGTTGCATCAGTTGCTAACTGGGATAACTGCTTTAGTGCTGACGAGCTGCGTGAAATTCAAAACAGTTAAAACAGTTAAAACAGTTATTTTTTAGGGTTGAAAGCAGTTAAAGCAGTTAAAACAGTTATATTTTTTAGTGATTTCCTAGCTTTTGCAAGCCAACAGTTGTAGAATACATAATGTTGTGCAATTATTGACATATTTGCACAGATAACCGCTAAATAACATTGAAACCTTGTATACACGTATAGAAATTATGAGACTTGGATGTTTGCAGGCGGCAGTGCCGCTCGAGCCATTCCACGAGTTTAGACACCAGGGAGATTTTTCACCAGCCACTGCTGCTCACCGACTGCCTTTGTGTCCTGCCATCCCACGAGTTTTGGCCAGGGAGATTTCTCACCAGCTACTGCTGCTCACCTACTGCCTTTGAAAATTGTATCCTGCCATCCCACCAGTTTAGACCAAACAGATTTCCCACCAGCTACTGCTGCTCACCTACTGCCTTTGAAATTTGTATCCTGCCACCCCACCAGTTTAGACCAGGGATATTTCCCACCAGCTACTGCTGCTCACCTACTGCCTTTCAAAATTATATCCTGCCTTCCCACCAGTTTAGACCAGGGAGACTTCCCACCAGCTACTGGCCCTCACCTACTGCAGTTGAAATTTGTATCCTGCCATCCCACCAGTTTAGACCAGGGAGATTTCTTGCCAGCTACTGCTGCTCACCTACTGCCTTTCAAATTTGCATCCTGCCATCCCACCAGGCAAATTTCTCACCAGCTACTGCTGCTCACCTATTGCCTTTGAAGTTTGTATCCTCTCCAGCTACTGCTGCTCACCTACTGCCTTTGAAAATTGTATCCTGCCATCCCACCAGTTTAGACCAGGGAGATTTCCCACCAGCTACTGCTGCTCACCTACTGCCTTTGAAATTTGTACCCTGTTATCCCACCAGTTTAGACCAGGGAGATTTCCCACCAGTACTGCTGCTCACCTACTGCCTTGGAAATTTGTATCCTGCCTTCCCACCAGTTTAGACCAGGGAGACTTCCCACCAGCTACTGCTGCTCAACTACTGCTGTTGAAATTTGCATCCTGCCATCCCACCAGTTTAGACCAAACAGCCTTTCCACCAGCTACTGCTGCTCACCTACTGCCTCTGAAATTTGTATCCTGTCATCCCACAAGTTTGGACCAGGCAGATTCTCTTACCAGCTGCTGCTGCTCATCTATTCCCTTTGTACCCTGCCATCCCACAAGTTTAGGCCTCACCAGCTACTGCTGCTCATCTGCCCCTCGTCCGAAATTTTCGGCAACAAAAATGGAACTTTGAGCCCCGAAAAAAAACCACGACACGCCACGACACACCACGACACTTTCAGAAAACTGGCCCGGATCACAGCTAGAGGGATGTGTCTTAGAGGAAAAGTAGTAGCGACACACCCACGACACCACGAAAAGCGCGCGGCCCAGAAAACCCACGACACGCCACGACACGCCACGACACACCACGACACAGTTTGTATTTTTCAGAATTTGTGTGATGTGTCGTGATTTGTCGTGGTGTGTCGTGGGCTTTCTGGTCTTCATGGCCCTTTGCAGACAAGCCTGTGTGTCGCTGCTACTACTTTTCCTCTAAGAGACATCTCTCTAGCTACGATCCGGGCCAGTTTTGTGGCGTGTCGTGGGTTTTTTCGAGACTCAAAGTTCCATGTTTTTTGCCGAAACTTTCGGACAGGGTGCAGATGAGCAGAAGTAGCTGGTGAGAAATCTGCTTGGCCAAAACTTGTGGAATGGCAGGGTACAAAGGGAGTAAATGAGCAGCAGCAGCTGGTAAGAGAATCTGCCTGGTCCAAACTTGTGGGATGACAGGATACAAATTTCAGAGGCAGTAGGTGAGCAGCAGTAGCTGGTGAGAAATTTTCCTGGTCTAAACTCGTGGGATGGCAGGACACAAAGGCGGCAGGTGAGCAGCAGTAGCTGGTGGGAAATCTGTTTGGTGTATATAATCTGGTGGGATGGCAAGCTACGAATTTCAAAGGCAGTAGGTGATCAGCAGTAGCTGGTGGGGAATCTCCCTGGTCTAAACTGAGCGCCGGGGCCAAGCTGCGCGTTGCGAAATTGGCGACCACGTCGCACGTGACGGTCTGCAAAAGCAATGTTCTCATCGAGCTCGACGCAGCACGGGCCTTTTTTGTGGAGACCTGCTTCGCGTGTGATGCTGAGCTCTTGCTTCTGGTGAAGGAGTTGCGGCTGGACGCTTGGACTGGTGTATGTGCATGTCTCCTTTTCCTTGCCCGCTTGTTCCTCGCTCGCTCGCTGCGGCCAGTCGCCGCGTGTTTTCGTTCGCTCGTCGCGGCAGGCTGCTGCTCATTTTGTCTGCGGCAAGGCCGCGTGTGTTATACGCGTTTTCGTTCCTTCGTTTGCGCAGGGCGCCGCTCGTTTTGTCTGCGGCGAGGCCGCGTGCTTCGCACGTTTTCGCTCCCTCGTTGCGGCAGGGTGCCGCGTGTATTTTGTTTGCGGCGAGGGCGCGTGCTTCCGGAGTCGACTGCGCGCGGCGAGCTTGCTTCGTGGTGGACGCTGGCTTCCTCGCAGCTGCGGGTGGTGCGGCCGCCGCGCAAGGCGCCCAAAGTGGTGGCTGTGGGAGTCGAGTGACCGGGCGCTATGCTTGCAGTGAAAAATATGACTTCTTAATACATCATGCGGCGATGCCGCGTGCAATCGACAAAGGTACTTCTATATCAGACATATGTAAATTATATATTGAATAATCTCCAAATCCACTCAATTTTCGGAAAGAACTAGCCTTTTTTTGCACGCTCCTGGCTCTGAACACTTAAACACGCAGTTTGGTCTCATAAAGTTACAACCAGTTATCTCCAGTTAGCTAAAACAGTTAAAACAGTTAAAACAGTTAGTTTTTCGCTTTCATCCGTCTCAAAAAATAACTGTTTTAACTGTTTTAACTGTCCACATAACTGGTATAACTGCGTGAACTTCTATAACTGCAAACGAACCCTAATAGTACAGAAGAGGGGTGACATTGACAAGTGACTGGCCCATGTCAATTTTCTTGTGGGGGATTGAGAGGTTGGTTCCCACGTCTGCCATAGGAAACCTCGTTTCACGGAGACTTCGAAAATTTTGGAAGGCCAAAATCCGCATGGAGAGACGTCCGGATCCACTGAGCTTCCCCAAGAGATTTGGCAAAGTCCGGACTTTCCTCGCGCAACGCGTCTTCCCAATAGGCAACAGGTGTAACAGGGGAAACGTGGAGGCCGCAATTCCCTTTCAGTCGGGAAGCAGGAGGATGAAACCGAAATTGGACAATCCTTTCTGTCTACTTTCACCAACAAAGCATACTCCAGGAGTGAGCTGTCGAAGTGTCTGATACTCGCCTTCCAAGTTGGCTGGCCCACTGAAACAAGGCATCAGCTTTCACTACTGAAATGGGAGCGAGTTTCCAGGTATTCTTGGCATCAAACTCCTCGGGCGCGGTCTTCTGCATCTGGCGCTGTAGCGAGCCCAAAACGGGTCTAGTTTTTGCTTTCAAGGGGATTTGCTGAAACGAGAGTAACCCCAAAACCTCGCTTCCTGAGTGGAAAAAGGAAGCAAAACAAGTCTGAACTTTCGGCCTAAGCCACTATGGTCTTCGGCCCAAAAAATGGCTCAAGTCCAGGAACTCGTGAGACAACCAAATTGTCCGCACCCCGCCAAGCGGTGCTGAAACTGAAAGGTTTGAGCCCGCCTCAAGTGGGAGAGGTCGAAGGTGAGAACTTGCCGGTCCTGAGCGAGACACTGAATGCGCTGAGCGCATCCGACTGCCATGAGTCAGGAAATGGATGGGTCATAGTCTCGGCCACGGGAAAACGATGGCGCCCCGCTTTTTGGCTTGCTTGATGTTGAGGGGAATCCCTTCCCAACGTGCAAAAAAAGGGGTGCCACTGGGCAACTGGATTGATAAATTGGTGCTTTGTTCGCAAGCCAAGCAAAAGACATGTGAGCAGTGTTCTAAACCCAGTTGCGGCCGAAGAGAAATATCAAATATCTTCCGTGAAGGCTTCCGCGGAGCTTCCGCGGCATGAAAGGTTCCTTCCCCAAGAGGTTTGAAGAGGGAATCGCTTCCGCGTCGCTTCTGCGGATTGAGAAATGAGATTGAAGCTCGTTTTCGCTTCCGCGCGTGAAGGAAAACTACAATTTCTTGCTTTCGTGATTGAATCGTAGCCCTTCCGCGAAGCTTCCGCGAGTACATAAATGAGAACCCCCTTGCGCGAACCTTGCGCGGCGCTTCCGCGACCTGGGAAAAGTCAACATTTTGAAGACGATATTTCCTCCCGAATACTACTTTCAAGTGCAGGGGTTTTAGAACGTCGCTCATGTAACGACCTCGCGGGTGTGGCAAACCATGCCTGAGCAAAATGGGACCGGGGGAATGCAGCCGCATCCCCCATTTTCCTACCAGACACCTCTGGGAAGGCACGAACATGTTGCAGCCCGGCTTCAGGTTCACAACTCACTCCATTTCACAACTCAAGAACCTGGTTTGCACATGGGTGTCTTTTTGCACCCGCCCCCAAGAAAAACTAAGTGGTTTCCTTTTGGTTGCCTTTTAACACCACACAAAAAGGGATAACCTCCCCCAAAAAAAACAGCCACCCACGTCACCATGTATCACAAACGTTGCGAATGCCTTTGGCTTGTGTTGATCTTGGCCTCTTTGTGGAATGGCGTCCTGCTCTTCTGCTCGCTGCTTCTTCCTTCCCTTCCGTCCAAGTCCCGTACCTATACTTCCCCTTTTGCTGGTCATGCTGGTCCGTGTTCTGAGAGAGCACGAGACAGAGAGCACTTCATCTTGCGCTAGCCGTCAAACAGCAGTGCTCTTCGCCAAGGTTCTGACTTGACTTGCTGGGGGCTGTTGCCTGAGCTGGGGCAAGTTGGCTCTGCTTTGCTCCGGTTTCTCTTGGCGCTGGGTCTCCGCTCCTGTGGGGTGCGTGCCCCGTTTTCTCGATTTAGCCTGGGACCAACACAGGGTTCGAAAAACGGGGGAGTGGTTTACTGAGGGGAACGCACTTGACGAAGCTCCCTTAGTCATGCTTAGTCATGGGATACTGGGTCTGATTAATCTGGCGCTGCGAGCAGAAAGCAACCATTTGGAGGGGATTGCCCCTTGAGAAACACCCATATTCGAGTAACAACAGTGCTTTTAAGTGCACTCTTTATCCTTCCTTTTCGTACTCCCCTGATACCAGAGTTTTGACCACAAGCTTTGCGTGCTTGGGACAAGAGGTAAAAAGCTGAAACGGAGTGATGGAGGATGGTGGAGGATGGTGATTGGTCGCAGGCAGGGTGTGGAGCAGCAAGCAAGACGGCTCGAAAAAGCTTCAAAGTCAACCTATCCAACTCGAAGAAACAAGCAGCACCATCAGTGATGCAAAAAACGAAGTGGGATGTATCAGCTTCCCTCTAATCGGCGGTTTGGATTAGTTGAAGCCCAGTACCTTGCGAGACCAAATCAAGAAAGTGCCCCTGAATGTCCAAACCACTTAGGGGTGAGGTGAATGTATGGGAGCTGACGAAGCAACATCCTATGGAGAAAAAAAAACGTCGGAGCTGCCGCGAGGTCGGTCCAAGGGGAAAACGATGGACACCCGAAACGGCAAAGAAGGGAAGCACCCAGCACCAGCGTCCCAGCCACTGCCTTTTTCTGGGCACTTAGTGAGTTGGGACAGGAAAAGATGGTACAAAACAGTTGGGGGGTGCTGGAGGGTTGCTTAAATCTGACAATGGGAAGAGTTTTGAGTGCACCTGCATGAAACTTCAACCATGGGGAGCGGCCCCAGAGCCATGCAGTCGTGACACGATTCCTTCAAGTAGCAAGGAGTGGAATGAAGCTGACGCACACGCTTTCGAAGGAGCCAAAAGATCGCCTCTTTCCAAAGATTGCCATTTGTCACTCGACGCAGCTGGAAAGCATTTCTTCAGCCGCGGCAAGTCGAGCTTGCCAAGCCGAAGCTGAAGAAGTCCTGGGTTTCCAGGGGAGATGGCGACAGGGATGTTCAACTCCTGCAACGTCTTGATGATGGCAGCGCGCAAATCTGTCGTGTCCCACTCCTTCCGCGTTTTCCCGTAGCCGGTGATCACTGAACATCCGAAGGGCGCGCTGGACGTCAGCTCTGGCGCCACCGCTGTTGAGAGCCACCACCGCACTGCGAGCTGACCTGCCCCCTCCGAAAGTCCGTGCAAGTCGATCACCCGCGGCTTTGCTTTTAGCAGGGTCTGAAACACTCCCTCCTGCACGGCACGTTCGAAGTGTGCGACTCCAAGCGGATTGCCACGGAGGGCATCCAGCAAGGAGCTGTAGCTTATACCATCTGGTTTCACCTCTGCGTTTCCCATCTTACAAAACATGAGCAATGCAAGCGGCCATTTACCGCCTTTCTCGCAAGCGCTGATAGTGGCGCTGTAGCTAATGGTGTTCATCGGAACTTTGGCTGTGGGCATTACGCAAAACAAGGCCAATGCTTGTTGCCACTGCTTCCCTTTCTCACAAGCACTTATGCTGGCACAAAAGCTTCTTTCATCCGGCTGCAGCTGAGCTTCAGGTATGGCCTGAAGAAGGGCCAATGCCAGCTTCCACTGACCACCTTTCTCGCAGGCGCTAATAGTTGCATTGAAGCTCATCTCGTTGACGCGCACTTGTGCTTCGGGCATTGCTCGCAATAAGGCTAATGCTGGCTGCCACTGCCCACCTTTCTCACAAGCACTGATGGTGGCATTAAAACTGTAAACATTTACTTCTACCTTTGCTTGGGGAATTGCCTGCAAAAGTGCCAATGCCAGCTGCCACTGCTCACCTTTCTCACAAGCACTTATAGTCGCATTAAAGCTGTATACGTCTGCTTGCAATTTTGCTTGGGGCATGCCTGAAAATAGAGCCAATGCCAGCTGCCACTGCTCACCTTTCTCACAAGCGCTTATAGTGGAATTGAAGCCATAAAGGTTTGGCTTAACCGTCGCTTGGGGCATGTCTGTAAATAGGGCCAATGCTTGCTGCCACTGCTCGCCTTTCTCGCAAGCACTGATGGTGGAACTGAAGCTGTAGATATTGGGTTGCACCGCAGCTTCGGGCATGCGTCTGAATAAGGCCAACGCCTGCTGCCATTGCATGCCTTTCTCGCAAGCACTGATCGCCGCACTGAAGGCATAAACATTGGCTTGCACTTTAGCTTGGGGCATGGCTGTCAATAGGGCCAATGCTTGCTGCCACTGCTCGCCTTTCTCGCAAGCACTGATGGTGGAACTAAAGCTGTAGATACTTGGTTGCACCGCAGCTTCGGGCATGCGTCTGAACAAGGCCAACGCCTGCTGCCATTGCATGCCTTTCTCGCAAGCACTCATCGCCGCACTGAAGCTGTAAACGTTGGCTTGCACTTTAGCTTGGGGCATCCCTGTGAGGATCAGGAGCGCGTCTTGCCAGGCTTGAAGCTTCGAGCAAGTGGACAACGCAACGGTAAAATCTCGGGCATCCAGCGGTGTTCGGTCTGCAAGCACCCGCAGCATGCTGGGCAGAATATCTGCACGCCCGTTCTCTTCCAGCATTTTGACCACGTCCCTTACTGGCACAGCTTGCCATCCAGGCGCCTCCAGAACAGCCCGCACCTCTTCCAGGGATGGGTGTCTAGGTAGCCCACAAAGCTCATTTGCATCCGAAGCTGCACTTGAGTCACTTGACCTGCTCTTGGCGGACCTGCCGAGCCTGCCACTGGCTTTCTTGAAATGCACGGCTGCCAGTACCACTGAGCTTGAAAGCCTGCACGGAGACGCTGCAGCTTTGGAGACCTGTCTGATCCTTGGCGCCAGGCCCGCAACAGCTGATGGAAGTGGCGGCTCCATGGCGGCCGTGCGACTCAAAACCAGGGACTCCATGGTGTCCTTTTTGGGAAAATCGATGGGTTTCCCTGGTAGTTGATTGAACCACCAGGTAAACCAGGAATCGCCACCTACTTTTCTACCAAAACAACCAAAAAGGACACCTAGGCTCAACACAGCCTGCGCTTGTGAGCAGAACTGCTTTCAGGTGCACACCTGCGCAGAAGACACGACAAACATGGACCAAGCAAAGGGTACCCAAGGATGTCGGGCAAAGACACGCAACATAGACTCACAAAGTGGCCCATCCGCTTTGGTTTCATTGGGAAGTTGAAGCTTTATGCACTATTTAGGACTCAATATTGATAACACACCAAAAGTAAGGCATCAATCCGCAAAATGGGGGTGATCAAGCGCACCCTGGCGAAGCCACACAGGAATGTGTGCAAGCTAGGGACCCTCCAAATAGTTGACTTCATGTGCAAAAGTGGTGTCAGTCTCAACAAGCAAGTCGCCCTGCACACTTACCTTCACAATGGGTTCTTTTTGATCCTGACGGGTTGTGTTCAAGGCCCCCATAAGGTCCGGGATCAGGAGGGTGCCCCCAAAAAGGGGCCATTGGGATCGGAGAAACCGTGTCATGCAGGTGATGAGGGAATGACCCTTATAAACCATCCCTGTTTAAATGTGTCGGTCTTTTGTTGACAGAACCCCAACTAATGGTCTTTTGTTAAGGCCTTCGGCTAGAGAAACTGCCCATTCGCCATTCTCTGAGGGAACCCACCCATTTTCAGACCCATCAACTATCGGTGGCTCCCGTTCTTTCATCCGGTCCATTGCCTGCTTTTCCAACCATGCAACCAAAATCAACCTTGGTGCTTGAATGGCTTGAACCAAGCAGTTGCTATGGACTCGGGTGGGTGGCTATGAAGGATTTTCCATCGGGTAGCAAAGGTCGTGCACCGGGCGTGCCACGGGTCCGATTTGCGGGAAACCCTTCGGAGCGAATGATGCAACTTGAGACAGGGGTGGCGCCTCATTTGGGGAAGCCCAAAAAAGGGGTTGAGTTTAAAGGACGAAAACTGAGACAAACGCGACATGGAAATGGCGATGCCAACTCAAAATCTGGCGGTCGACTGAAATGGTCTCACTGACATGAGTGGCTGGTTGAGGTCACACTTTCGGGGCTTGGCTCCAGGAAAACCAAAAAAGACCACGGCATTTTGAGGGCGCCGCCCCTATTTTGAGCCAAGCCGAACGGTTTACTAGGTCCTACCGCCCCTTCTTATTGGCCCTCCGTCACAACGGGGACGGTTTTCTGGTTTGTTGAAGCTCGTTGGCTCCGAGCGGCAGCGCAGCCGACCACCATCAGCGGGAACTTCACGTCCATCGCAAAGACCTGGACGAGCGACTCGGCACAGCGAGTCCCCATGGGGCGAAAAGGGGCACCTTCGGTTTGGTTGACTTTGGACACAAACCCTTGCCAAAAAAACAACAACGCCGAAGACATCGCCGCTGACAACATCAAGGAAACAAACATGATATTATGATATGACCGGAAATGCCATAGAGTATGTGTTCATATCTAGTCAGCCGTTAGAGTATGTCCGGCTTCATCTTGGCGGTTTCTCAAAATAGTCCCCTAAATCTCAACGGCTTCCTTCTGGTTTCCCTTTCAATACCAGAAGGGCTCCCTTTCCATGTTGGCAAAGACTTCTCTGGGGGCGAATGCTAGTCCCGAAATGGTGGACATCAGATTCCCGTGATGAACAAGTCCGCCACCAACTACTTTTGAGGACAATTCCCAACTCTCAACCAAAAAACTCATGGGCCAAACTCTGCTTTTTTTTGGGGGTATTTTGGGGGATTGCTTTTTAGGGAAAGCGCCATCTACAGGCCCGGGTTTCCGAGCCCCTATGGCCCCAGGTGTTTTTTTGGGTCCCCCGGGCGCGCTCCGGCAGCTGCAAGGTGAACACCGGCTGTTGCCTCGGAGGTTGACTCCATGGCGATTCGGGCGCCACCCCCCGCTTGGTCGCTGTGGACCCGTTTTGAGAGATCCCATGCTGAAAGTGACCAACTTGTGGAATGAATGGAAATCACCTCTAAACGGAAAAGCAAAACAAAAAGATAAGGGGATGGCTGGGAACCACCAAGTGAGTGTGTGATGGCTTCCTGCCCATCTAGGCGTTGATTCCTTCTCCATTCTTTTCAACCATCCCTCCATTAACAAAAAAAAACAAAAAACACAAAAATCAGCTCGCTGTCTTTCCGCTGGGTTTGTGATGGTTTCATGAAAAGAAGGATCCCCGGAAAGAATGGGGAAGCTTCCCCTAGAGCACCCCACAAAAATGTTGTGATTTGCATGGAACACACCTTTCCGTGTGTGGGAGGGTTCGCCTGATTCTTAGGATCGGGTGTTCATACAACGATCTGATGATAAGAGCGTATTGCATTATTCGTTGTCTTCGAAGTCATGTTTTTATTTGTAGCGCAATAACATTAACACTTCCTTAGTGGCAGCTTGGTGTGTCCAAAGTCATTCTCTTGACTAAGTAGAACATTGTTGCTCGAGTGGGGTGGGCTTAACCCTCTCCGGACGTTGTTATGAAAGCGCTTTTGGTGGTTTTGACAAGGGTCGAGCCTCTCCGGTTTGCTTGATCTGTGGCAATGAATCATTCTAATCTTGGAACTCACTAGTAATTACATAAATGCCAGATTTCAAAAAATCCGGGCTCGACTCTGGATGTGTCTGGGTGAAGCAGCTTGGGCAAGTGAGCCCCAAAGCCAGGTAAAATAATCAAAAGGTGTGGCTTCCGCAATTTTTCGGATTGTGATGTGAGAGTGAGTGCTCTTTAGCCAAACAAATAATCAAAAGGTGCTCGTTTGACTGGGATTTCATCGTCCCCGATCGTGATTTGCCATGACCGAGGATTGGGCACCTCTTTTTGGCGATTGACCTTACAGGGGGCTTCCCCTCCCAACGAAAAAGAGCACTGGGAAGCTAGACATAGACGCCCGAAAGATCTAACTTTTTGCTGGGAAGGGAACATGATGGACAACACCTGCATTTGCGAATAAGTCACCTGGAAAAAGGAACACCTATTTTCGCTATTTTCCAGTGATGGATTCCCTCTCAAAACTTGAGGAGCGGGTGAACGAAAGCTAGCAGTTGCTGCATGAGATGGGTCGGTGACAGAGTGGATTCATAGGTAGCTTGTGTACAACGAGAGGCCCGGCAAGATTCGTAGGATGCGACACGCAAACGCACATGGTGGCGTGGCAAACCTTGAAAATGAAAACAACGAGAGGCGTCAGAAGCTGTCTTAAAGCACCTCTGGGTTCTGCATGCTGCGTGTGCAAAGATTCTTGCTAGGTGGTTTACTGAGAAGACTGAGGTCTCAAATGAACAAGCTGAATCGGTTGAACATGTAAAAGTTCGTAGCACCAAGTCCAAAACGGGCAAACCGAGACTGCTGAAACACTGAGCCACTGCCCGGGGGGAGGGGTGGACCAAGGAGGAATCGAGCCTGAGACGGGGGGGGAGGGGGGGGGGGAAAATACAAGAACATATATTGAGCGCAGTAGTTGAACCCATGATTTTAAAATAATAATTTCTCAAAATAGTCCATAAAATATTAAATAAGGTTAATACATTATTCATATTAATTAACCTTATCTAATTACTTGAAAATAATTTTACTTCATTGAAATATTATATAAGGTTAAGAAGTTATTCTACATATTAACCTTATACAATTTTATGTAAAATATTTATTAATAAAAGTAATGTTAATTTTCTTCTGCCTGTTTCATTTCTAAATTTCTTTTATACTTATTTGTTTTACGATGTTGTTTTTTTAAACATTGAGAAAAATAGCAGTCACAAATATCACACTGAATCTTTATACTGTTCCATTTTCTATTACTTTCAAGTGATTTATTTCTATATTCATCATCTTCTTCATATCTTTTTCTTTGCTCCTCATTGTATCTATCTTTATGTTTAATTCGGTTATTCCTTTTGTTTTCTGAACATTGCTTGCATTGTTTATTATCTTTATTAAATTCGTCAAATAGTTTCATTCTACCACAGTTTCTACATAATTTTCCATTATCAGTTTTGAATGAACCGTTTTCCAAAATTCCTTCATACATTTTACCTTTAATTAAAACACAAATTTGTCCTTCCATAGTTCTTATAATACAATGTCCTTAAACCTTTAAATACATTTTAAGAAATTCCTATAATCAATATTCCTTGAAACTAAAATCTCAAAATCCCAAAATATAAAATCCCATAATTTTCAAACATAAATCTTACAATGATTTTTTTATTGTAAGGTTTATGGGGTGTTTTTTTCTCTGCTGTGGTCTCCGAAATGGAGGCAATGAAGCTCTGATAGAACTCCAGAAATTCGTCATTTTGCGCATTGTGTTTTGTCATTTTGCGCATTGTGTTTTGTCATTTGGCGCATTGTGTTTTGTCATTTGGCGCATTGTGTTTTGTCATTTGGCGCATTGTGTTTTGTCATTTGACGCATTGTGTTTTGTCATTTGACAAATTTCTTTTGTAATTTGACGAATTTCTTTTGTAATTTGACGAAATTCAATTTGTCATTGGATGAATTGTTTTTTGCTTTCAACCCACCAAACTCGTCAAAATCTCTCAAATCAATTCAGAAGGTATTTTGTATAAATCTTCCTGTTTATGTATTACATAATTATCCCCAGAACCACTACCTGAAAATAATTCTAATAAATTCATATTATTAGAATTATTTAGATATTTATTGTATTAATTCGTAGTTTCCTTCTTCGTTCTTAAACAGTTTATAAAATTCAATAGTTTCTGTTTTTGGAGATTTAATTTTGTTCTTATTTAACATATCCATATATTGCTTTTGCTTATCTTGAAAACTGCCAGACGGCCTTCCTATTTGTTTCTTTTCAAAGATTTTGTCAATCTTTTCCTTCTCTTCATTGCTATTTTTTGGTTCGTATGCCTTTGCATCAAGTTTCTGGTCAATAGTTTTTATCATCTCGTACAACAGTTTAACATTTTTACTAACTGTCATTATTTTCTTTGATAGTTCAACAATACCATCATTCTCAACTTCAGACATTTCTATATATATATATTTATTTATATAATTATTTATTTAAATATTTATTTATAAAATTGATTTAATGTAAAATCTACTCTTTAAGTACTAAATTTTCATCATTTGTTTAATAGTTTCCTGAGTTTCGTTATCACCATTATCTGACATTGTTGCCTCATTTCCAAATTTGATAGAAATATTATGTGCATCTGTTTCCAGATTGATACTGTCCTTAGTTTTATCAATATTCATTTTCTTATCCTTTTTAGTTATTTTAAACCCTAATGGCACACAAGAACATTTGCAATTTCCCTTCCTTTGTATTTCCAGTTCGTTTTTTAGTTCTAACATCTTTTTACACATAGGACACTCAAACTCGGTTAGTGCTGTTTCTTTAACAATTTCTTCTTTTTCTTCATCTGTTGAAGAAACTGTAGTATCTGTCTTATTCTTTTTGTTTTTCTTTTTTACCATTTATATTAATATTTACATTTGTATTTTTGATATATTGTATTCCTAATTTTATTAATTCTAATGTATAAAAGCATACTTTCTTACATCTGTTGTCAGTTATTATTACTTGTTCTATATTCTCTACTTCATCTTTTATATCAATATAATCTGAATAACTTCTATCCATATAAATAATAAGAAAACATATTCTAATTCATCTTATTATTTCATGCATAATAGAATATTGGTGGGGCACAGCACTTGGGTTTTCATTGCACACGCGAGCAAGACACAAAACTAATTATCTTCAATGCTTATTGATTGAAGCAATGGAAAACCTGTTCCATTTGTTCATTGATATTTGCCGTCATCATATCATGAAAAAACGATGTTCCATTTAATATTGATTATAAATATTTTTCTAAATATCTTTAATATTATTTTATTATGCCTGATGTTCCCATAGTAAAACCAATAAACATAACTGACTATGAATTTAAACAGTCTAAATATGAACACGTGCCAAAATTACCATTTAGAAGTATTATAGTTGCTTCTTCAACAGGTGGCAAAACAGTTCTAATTCAATATTTGATATTAAATGTATATGAAAACTGTTTCTCTCGTGTCTTTATTTTTAGTCCGAGCGTCCATAATGACCCTACTTTTGTTGAAGTCAAGAAATACCAACGAGAAGAAATGAAGGTGGATGATACAAAAGAGCAAGTGTATTTTGATGAATACCGACCAGAAGAATTGGAAAATATCATTGATACACAAAGAAAAATAATACATTATATGAAAAATACTAAAATGAAGAAATTATATTCAACTCTTATTTGCATTGATGATTTCAGTGATGATCCCAAATTTTTGAGATATTCTAAAATTTTACACGGTTTGTTTACGCGCGGCAGACATGACGCCATCTCTTGCATATGCAGTCTTCAAGAATATAAAACAGTCGCTAATATAATCCGTGTCAATGCCAGTTCATTATACATTTTCAGATTAAAAAACATATCAGAATTAATGAGTTTTATTGAAGAAAATGCCGCGATTGTTGATAAGGATAAACTTTTAGAAATGTATCATACAGCAATAAATCATTCTACATATTCATTCTTTTTCGTAAATTTAAATTCTAAAGATGTCAATCCGCATGTTCTATATCAATTTCGAGAAACGATTTACAATTAAAGAATAACCTATTATAACACTTAATAAACTATTATGCCTAAAAAACCCGTAGACTATTCAACCACACATTTTTACAAGATTGTTTGTAAAGATTTAGATAATCCAAATATGTATATCGGACACACAACCAATTTCAAAGAAAGAAAAGCAAAGCATAAAAGAACTTACAATAATCCAAATAGTAAAAAAAGTATAACTTTCCAGTATATAAATTTATTCGTGATAATAATG